TACAAGAACAGCAAAAGAAACAAGAAAAGAGACTACAGCAGTGGTTGGAGGAGAAAGAAAATAAACAAGAAGAGAGACTACAGCAGTGGTTGGAGGAGAAAGATAATAAACAAGAAGAGAGACTACAGCAGTGGCAACTGGAACAAGAAAGGAAACAGGAAGTAAGTCTCCAACAGTTGCGGGAAAGTCAGCAGCATCTGCAGGAAAGTCAACAACAGTGGCAAGAAGTACAAATGGAACACATTAGTAAATTTCAAAGTGAATTAAATACATTAAAGGATGATTTACTGTCTTTTACAAAGGGAGGATATATTAACCATGGACCTAATCAGCCCCAGACAACAGGAAGCCCCTTCCAGACCCAGCAGCTAAACCCTAATGTAGACATCTTCAGTCTCGTCAGAAGTCACATTCCAGACATGAGTGTCAGCAATAGAGGTGATCTAGTACAAAGGAAGCCACAGGAATTCGATGGGAAGCATATAGAGCACAATTTGAGCTCCTGGCAGAAATGAATGGATGGACAGAGGAGCAGAAAGCAGTGTACCTGGCAACGAGCCTGAAGGGACAACCACTGGAAATACTTGGACAGTTGTCAGCAGACGACAGGCACAACTATAGAGCACTGGTAGCTGCTCTAGAACTCAGGTATAGAACTCAAGATTAGTCCGAAGTTTACAGGGTTGGGTTTAGGACGAGAGTTCGTGCTAAAGGGGAGAGCCTGCAAGAGCTGGCACAGGATTTGGAAAGAATGGCACACAAGGCCCACCCAACTGCACCACCCAATGTCCTCAAGCTGTTCCTGAGGGATCAGTTTATAGATGCCTTGGACAGTTCACAACTGAAGATACAAATAAAGCAAGCACACCCCTCTAATATACAAGATGCAATGGCCAGATCTCTTGAATTTGAATTCTGCGTTAAGTCCAGCACAGAGTTACCAAGGTTGGTATAGTCATTAGGATTCAAGGCCAGAAAAGGTCAGCTTTCAGAGAAGTTTGAGGGACTTTGCTGGCACAGTAACAAACCTGGGCACAAGAGAGCTCAATGCCAGCAACTTCAACACAGGAAAGATGCCACGAGAGTAAAGGCTGCTACCCAGAAAGGTTGTTGGAACTGTGGAGAGCAAGGACATATGAAGAGCCAGTGTAAGAAGAATATTAGCAATAAGTCAGCCTCGGGTAAACCAGTAGTGGTTGGTGTTGAGGGATGCCCACCAACCCCCATGGTGAAAGTCCCAACAGCTAAGTATAAAATGGCA